GCCGCTTTTGTCTGAAGGATGCTGCAAAAAGGACGCTGAGTTTTTTAAGCTGCTGTGATTATTTAAGCTGGAGGCGTGTAACTAATAACATATCGGTAACCAAGGGCTTTGGAGCTAACCATGAGCCTGCCTTCTCCCAGGTATGAGGCAGTGCACCCTGTAAGAAACTGGACCGACCTGAAGCGCAGAGTGGGACCGTACCGACGCTGCTACGCCTTCACCCATGCTGCCATGCCGGGAGAGCCCTTGGTTGTGCTCCACGTGGCTCTGACTGAAGACATCTCTGATAACATACAGGTCAGACTCAGTAGCTGGAGGCTGCTGTAACGGTTTGTGTCCCTTTGTGTTACACGTCTGGGATTTACCGTGTCGGTCCTCCTGTCACGTGACCAGTATGAGGCTTGTAACTGCACATCCCTGTTTAAACAAAGCTTTATGCTCAGCAGTCGCTTCCTTTTGTTTTGTGCAAGCTAAAGGCGGCTTTCACAACACTGAAATCCAAGAATATTTCACAGTGTGCAATGATTTCCACAGTTCTGCCCCAGCGGCTCAAATAGTTGTAGTGAAACTTGCCCTGACAGCAGCTCAGCAGCTAAGAACACTGAAAATGGGTTTACAGCTGCATGAGTAGTGCAGGATTTGTCTTCCTTACTGCAGCCTAAAGAAAAAATGATCTTCTGTCGTTCTTTTTTCTCAGAGTATTGTTCGTGAGTTTGCCACCCTGGACTCAGACGAAGACGTGAATAAGATCAATTCAGCTGTCTTCTACTCGATCTCTTCAACACAAGCTGGCCTGCAAGGGGTGGAACTGGGCAATGTCCTCATCAAGAGGGTGGTGCGTGAATTGCAGGTAAGCGAACGTGGGCTGCAGGTGTTTATATACAACAAACAATCACATTTTCACATTCGTAGACTGACAGAGTTTATCTTGGCTCAGTTGCAGCTACTAGAACTTGAATTGTCTTTGAGGATATGATCGAATTATTCTGAAATGCCTCAGCGTTCCCGTTGATGAGATGAGAAAAACATTTTTGGTTAATTCTGCTAATTAAAATGCCGGCAGCTGTTTAAAATACGATGACATTCCAGATAAGTGTCAATGAAAGAGATGCAGCAAGGTTAAGTAAACACGTGTTATCTAAATATAACCAGGATGTAGCGAGGCATCCTCAACCTTTCCATTACAGCTAGATAATAACGCCTTATCGTGAACGCACACATGACACAGAGCTCCTCCCTTTCTTCAGGTGTTGTCCAGCTGACCTACTTTCTTACATTTACATCCTTTTTTTATTCTGAATCATAAATCTCCCACTTGCAGTAGCGCCTGAATGCATGTACACATAAACAGAGAAGTACTCAGCTGACAGGCAGCACTAACATCTCATCCATCCCTCTCAATAAGCACAGAAGAGCTCTTTGTGTTGGACCACTCGAGCTCGCACTTGTTAAACGATTGGAACGCTGAATGGAAGATCAAAAGCTTCTCTCATCAACAGCTGGGAAATAGCTTTTCATAGCGTATCCTCATAAAAAAAGAAAATCA